ACTTTACTTTACTTTACTTTACTTTACTTTACTTTACTTTACTTTACACTTTACTTTACTTTACACTTTATTTTACTTTACTTTATACTTTACTTTACTTTACTTTACTTTACTTTACACTTTGCTTTACTTTACTTTACACTTTACTTTACTTTACTTTACTTTACACTTTACTTCACTTCACTTCACTTCACTTTATTGTTATTGCACCTCGTACAGTGAAATTAAATACTATCTTCAGTGTACATTATGACTATGAAAATAAAACACAAATACACATCCTTCATATTCTATACAACTGAATTGAAAACCCCTAATATTGTATTAATATTGCACTATACAGTAGAATCTAATAGTGTAACCGCGCTGGGATAGAATCTGTTTTTCAGCCGATCTGTCCTTGTTTTTATTATCTCTACTGTCTGCCAGATAGTAATAGTTAAAAAAAAAAGGTTCCCAGGATGAGATGGATCTTTGAGAATGTTTTGAACTTTCTTAAGGTAGCGGGAGCTATAAAGCTCTTCCAAAGAGGGGAGAAGGCAACCAATGACCCTCTGGGCAATGACGTTAACCCTCTGGAGTGCTGTCCTATCTGCCCTTGTGCAAATTGGCAAACCATACAGAGGTGCAGTATGTTAAAATGCTCTCTATGCCAGGGGTCTCCAGCCTTGGCCACTTTAAGACTTGTGGACTTCAACTCCCAGAATTCCTCAGTCAGTTTCGCTCTGGGAGTTGACGTCCACAAGTCTTAAAGTAGCCAAGATTGGAGACCTCTGCTCTATGCTGCAGTAGTAGAAGGTCACCAGCAGTTTTTCATTCAGTTGTTTCCTGAGAAGTCTCGGGTAATATAATCTCTGCTGGGCCCTTTTGACCAGGGCTGCAATGTGAGCACCCCCAGGTCAGATCCTCTTTTAGGGTAACACCCAGAAACTTAAAACTTGTCAGCATTGTGCAGCAGCAGCCAAAAAATATAATGCAATCCTAAATTTCATTAATAGAAGGATACAATCAAGATCAAGTGAAGTTATAATATCACTCTATAAATCCTTAGTAAGACCTAGAGTACTGCATCCAGTTTTGGTCACCACACTATAAAAAAGATGTTGAGGCTCTAAAAAAGTGTAGAGAAGAGCAACCAGGAGGATGAGGGGACTGGAGGCTAAAATATATGATGAACAGTTGCAGGAACTGGGAATGGCTAGTCTAGTGAAGAGAAGGACCAAGGGAGACATGATAGCAGTCTTCCAATATTTGAGGGGCTGCGACAGGGAGGAAGGGATCAAGCTATTTTCTAAAGCATCTGAAGGCCAGACAAGAATTAATAGCTGGAAACCGAACAAAGAGAGATTCAACCTGGAAACTTTCTGACAGAACAATCAACCAATGGAACAGAAGTTGCCCTTGGAAGTTGTGGGAGCTTCATCACTGGAAGCTTTCAAGAAGAGACTGGACTGCCATTTGTCAGAAATGGTGTGGGGTCTCCTGCTAAAGTAGGGGGTTGGACTAGATAACCTACAAGGTCCCTTCCAACTCTGATTATCTGTATCTGTATCTCTTGGATCATCTCAGAAAATTCAGATGTCAGCCATTCCTGTAGTTTGAACACAGAATCACAGGATTTTTTTTTTTAAGTGACCCATATATCCAATTATCAACAATGCCAACAATCACAATTTATCTAAAAGAAAAATGATACTCGCCACAGAGAGCTTATGGGTTGAAGACATCTCATTTTTTTCTTGTAGCTTTTTAAGTTTTCCAATTTCTGCTCGGGCTTCGTCCAGTTGCGCTTCCAACTTCTCCCGTCGCATCTGCTCATATTCCAGTTGCCCGTTGAGCTCAGAGACGGTCCTTTTGAGAGCCAGACCAAAACCAGCTTCAGAAGATGCTCCGGAGCCCAAAATTTTGGTTGCTAACCAAGGACAGTTTGTTTTGTGACTTTGGCCATTTTGCAACCTTTCTCTTGACGTTAAGTGAATGGCTGTAGCTGTGCAGTTAGTAACATGGTTGTAAAGTGAATCTGGCTTCCCTACTGACTTTGCTGGTCAGAAGATCCCAAAAGGTGATCGCATGGATCCTTCACATAGTGCAATACATCCTCAATTTGGAAATGGAAGAAAAGGGATCCCAGCTGGGCGCTAAGATTTGGCACTGATACAGAAGTTTGGAGTGGTGGTTAAGATGCTAGCTTAGAAACCAGGTGACTGTGAGTTCTAGTCCTGCCTCAGGCATGAAAGCCAGTTGAATGACCCTGGGCCAAGCGCCAGGTGACTGTGAGTTCTAGTCCTGCTTCAGGCATGAAAGCCAGTTGAATGACCCTGGGCCAAGCGCCAGGTGACTGTGAGTTCTAGTCCTGCCGCAGGCATGAAAGCCAGTTGAATGACCCTGGGCCAAGCGCCAGGTGACTGTGAGTTCTAGTCCTGCCTTAGGCATGAAAGCCAGTTGAATGACCCTGGGCCAAGTGCCAGGTGACTGAGTTCTAGTCCTGCCTCAGGCATGTAAGCTTTGAAGATGATGTTGTAAAGACTATGGTTACCGGAAAAAAAATAGTGCGCTTTAAGCCCTGGAATCAGAGAAAGAAACTTGGATTGTGTCTACTTTAATTCATAAGAAGGAAAAGGGGAAACATAGTCCAGATTTCAAGACCAATGTTAGCCTCTTGAGGTAGGCCAAATAAAAACAATGACTCCACAGATTTGTCTAGAATTCTACTTTATTGATCCAGGCTAGAGTAACAGAATCTTTCATGTCTAACTCAGTTTAATGGGGTGTGTGATTGTTCTCTGTTTTAGTCAACCGGCAGAGGGCAGCAATGCAACAATTTCTTTAAGAAGTGAATTATTTCTATTATGAAGGAAGAGTAATCACTCTGTTATTGATAACCACACACAAAAAAACGTCTTGGCACATTTTAAAGCCTGGTGAATTTCTTACCTCACCAAGTATTTTGTAGTCTTCCAGTCATGGGGGATGGTTGGAACTACGAACTCTAATCCACCCATAAGGGGGATTTTGACATTCAAGGGAGTTGGGATGATGGAGCCGTGGCTGTATTAGATTTTTATCCAAGGTAGAGAACACATACCTGATACTTTCTTCCTCGTGTTTTCCTCACAGCAGCCCTATGAGGTGGGATGGGCTGCAAGAGAGTGACCAGACCAAAGTCACCCAGCTGGCTTTCATGCCTTGGGGAGGACTAGAATTCACTGTTTCCTGGTGATTGGCCCCGAATTAGCCAGCTGGCTCTCATGTCTAAGGTGGAACTAGAACTCA